ATACCCTTGCATTGTTAATCCTAGCCGCAATTACAATCGCATCATGATCATGACGAAGGGATGTTTCGCACTCGTCGACTGTGAACCCTACTACCTTGCTTTCTTGTTTGGGCAGCTTTTGTTCATAACTCATTATTTGGAGAATCGAGTCCATTTTGGTCCCTTGAGCATATTACTCGTGAGCTCGTCTCAAGCTTCCCGCTATATCTGGTCCTTTGTAGATCATATTCATGAACACCTTGTTAGGGTTTGGTGGAGCCTGTTGAGCTGGGGTCTGTACCTAAGTTGGGATCTAGTTACTTTGCTTGCCATGATTCTCTCAAGCTAGTTTTGCCTTAACAAATTCTTTCAAATGACCTCTTCTTATCAGATCTTCGATGGCATCCTTCAAAGTTTGGTAGTCATTCGTGTTGTGCCTGACATCCCTGTGGTACCAATAATATTTCTACCGATTTCTTCTTCCTAGTGTCCCCTCATCCTTTCTGGAGCGGGCAACCTCTTTGTCTCTCAGGACACTTCATAGAAGTGGGCGATGTCTTGAGTGAGGAGGGTGTACTCTGCATATTGCGGGAAAGGCTGCTTGTCTCCGTGGTTATCTACTTTTTGTTTCTTTTGAAATTTGTTGCGATCCTTGTCGTTGCGGTCTTTGCCCCTATGCTTATCCAAAGGGCGATTCTGTCTTCTGTCCAGGGCCCCCTACATTGAGCTTCTAGCTAGTGTCTTTAACGAGCTCTTTACTCGCTGGTATTTTACGGCCATCTAGTAGAATTTGGCTAGACTCACATGATCTTTACTCTGAAGTTCTTTCCACAGCTCCTTATTAAGTCTGATCCCTGTGATCAGCAGAGTCCAAATGGATTCTTCGGGGGCATCAACGACCTTTGCTTGCTCATTTAGAACGTCGTTAAATACAAGGTCAGTGATTCGTGTCGCTCTTGGAGAATGTTGTTAAAGTAGTTGAGCGGCATTACGAACTGTCTTCTTGCTTGAAATTGCTATAAGTACAGCGCGGAGAATTGTTGCCAAGAGTTGATGGAGTTCACCTTAAGCCATTTGTACCACCTCTTGGCATCTCTAACTAATGTGACTGCAAAACACTGACATTTTGCTAAATTACTAAACTGGTGTAGCTCTATTAGGTCATTAAAGTTATTGAGGTGATCCTTAGGGTTCACTCTCCCCTCGAACTTGCTCTCTGGCTCCCTGAATCCTTATAGGAGCGGGGCTTGGCAAACTTCCTCTATAAAGGGGGAACTTACTACCTCCTTTGCTAGATTATTCTGGCGAGCTTTTAGATCATCGAGCATCCTTTGCATGCGATCTAAGTCTTCACTTTGGTTGCCCTGGTTGGCTTTGTTAAGTTGTACCTTGAGCAAATAAGTTCGCAAGTCTATTGCTTGCAAAGATCCTCCGGCGCGCATTGATGCATAAAGTCGAGTCATGATGGTTGGGTTGGTAAGTGCTATCATGCTTGTTAGTGCGTTGCTCACGACGTTAGTCATAACCGCAACATCGGTTATTTCTAAATTGATGCACATGGCTCACTTCACAAGCTCGTAAAGATTGATCTTGTCTTAGGCGTGGGTTAAACTGGGACGTTGACGCTGGGGATACCGCTGAGATTCTTGGTTGTGTATGTCGCCTTCGCTTTCCCTCAATGGCTGCTTCCCTGGTCGTCTCCCGTGGTTTGTTTGCTTACGAGACTCACATTCATGCGTGGAGTGCTGCCTGCGAGGTTGGACATTTTGATCGTCCCTTGGCGATGACAAAGCGAACTATCCACCTGCAAAATTCATACCTGTTAGGGTGGCGTTGGTAAAGCGCGGCTAGTCAAGGTTCTGGGCAATTGGTTGTTGGTTCCTCAACTCAACCACATTCTGTTGCACCACCTATGCAACCATTGTCCTGATTATCTCCATCAGCTGGCCGTTCTCGGGATTTGACGTCCCGGCCCCCTGGTTGTTTGCTGTGTGCTGAGCCGGTGGCACAGGTGGTTGGAGTCCAGCATTCTCCTATTGCACCTCCTGATGGGTGCTTTCCACGTTCTCGTGATTTCTGGTGGTAGTTCTTGATCTGGTGAACACCATTTTGATCTCGGGACAAGTAAATTGCAGCCAACGTTTGCTAAAATCTTTGAAATATTGGCGAAGGGCTCTCATTCTAGCGCCAAAATGTTGATATAAAATTTTGCACCAACCAACGTGATCTGGTCGACCTTGTCAGGATCGGAACCGATGTGTACGTGATTAGTGAAAAGCAGCAATGAATATAAATAAAATGAATTAAAAACAAAGAGATTTTTAAAGTGGTTCGGCGAGGTTAACAGCCTACGTCCATTGTGTTTTTGTATTTGCCCTGAAAGTTTACAATGCAATTCTTATCTGAAAATTGTAACCTCTTCCTCATCGTTTGAGAGGGTTTTTATACAAGATTTGTACAAAGAAAAGAGTAAAATTAAGGGGATTACAATTGATCTGAATAGCAATTCCGATATTTTCGCAATTTGGCACTATGATTGCGTAATGATCGTTGTTGATCGAGTCATTCCCGTAATATCTAGGATCTGAAGTAATCTGGAGATTGATTAAATGATTCCTTGAATTGTTTGTGACTAGCTTATGTTGAGTTGAGCTATATCTCAACGAACTTATGCTGGGTTGATCAATCATTGTTGTTGAGCTCATTTTGGGTTGAGCTATATCGTTGAGTTAGCCCGAACTTGGCAAAAAAATCACACACAACAAAGAGGTTTGCTCAATTTCTTGAGCTCCCAGATTTAAAACTTGGGGCCATCTACTACAATAACATCGTAGTTTATTCAATCTTTTGAGTTTGTAAAATGTTTAATAATCCTTGAAAATTAGTTGAGGTACATGATAAGTTGCTGGAGTTAAGGTTGTTCTTTAGCTAATCTGTGCTTGACATTTGGCTAAAATAAAGTTGTTTTTAATGAAAAGTCTTATGTGGGATGAGTTATTATGTTATTCATATATATCAATACAATCAACACCTATCATCTTGTAACTTAGAAACACCTTATCATTAGTTGATTACACATTTGATTTGGTTCATTGTAAAGAATACTCTATTTCATCACATGCTTCTTTAATTCTCTTTTTCTTCTTGATTTAAGGAGGTTTCTAGGGGATCTGCTAGTTTCTGGGGGCATTGTTACAATCCTATTTGATAATATTAGAACATGATCCAAGAATTGATTAGTATATTAAAGTATTAAACATGTTATTCTCTGCAAACATCAATGGCAACTAAGAATGTAAAAGTCAAATTGGCTGCATTGAATTGAGTGAAAACTACTGTAAAACTGCTTAAAAAAGGCAGAAGGCGACAGAAAGAATAATTTTTTAGCCATGCTATGGAAAAGTTGTCCGCTAATCTTTTCACCATCTCTAGGCACTTTGTACTTGGCCTTTTACTTTCCTTTCAATCGTTTTTCTTTTCACCCACTAATATTTCAGATTCAGACAAAGCACCCTATTATAGATTTCTTAACAAGACTTAAGGGACTTTCTAAATAAAGGCTGAACGACTTATACCTACCCAAGGTTTTATAAAATAATGATTGGTATCTAAAAGGTTTTAAAATAATAAATAGATACCTTTCATTAGTAAAAAGATTAGAATACCCTTTGAGAAATATTAGTCTATTTTTTTAATTACTTGTAGACCCTTTAAGTTTATTAATTCCATAAATACCCTCTAAAAAAGTTTAAAAATTAACAAAAATACCTCCACCAACCTATACTTGCCGGATTCCTGCGGCCACCATCGTAAATGGCCAGTAATTCACCGATCTGGTTTTTTTTCGGCCAGATCTACTGTAGATCTGACGTGAAAAGGCCAAATCTGGTCGGAAAGTGATGACTAAAGAAATGGTCGTTGTTAACAGACAACGACGGCCAAAGATGGAGTGTTGCGGCCGTGACAGCTAGATCTGGCATTTTTCAGCCATATCCGTGGTAGATCTGGTCGAAAAATGCCAGATCGGTGAACTACCAGCCATTTTCGGTGGTGGCGTAGACCGTTGTGACAGATTTCGGCTACCACTGGTGGTGGTCACCGGAATCTGGCAAGTATGGGTGGGTGGGGGTATTTTTGTTAATTTTTAAACTTTTTTTAGGGGTATTTGATGAAATTAATAAACTTTAGGGGTCTAAAAATAATTAAAAAATAGACTAATATTTCTTAAAATGCATTCTAACTTTTTACTACGAAATGTATCTGTTTGTCTTTTTGAATCTTTTTAGGTATCAATCTGTCGTTTCACCGAACCTTAGGTAGGTGTAAATCGTTTCCCCTCTAAATAAATGGTTGATTCTATTACTCGTAATGGTCCTTGAATCATGGTCTATAGGTTTGACGAGTCAGTCTTCTAATCATGATCCATAGGATTGACGAGTCTAATGGGTCTCCAAGGAAACATCATCCCTGTAAGTAGGCGGATCCCTGATTCTGAGGTTGTTCCTGACAAATAAACTTACCATCTAGTTAAATGGTTTATCTCATGTTTCAATGAGAACAGCCACAAGTTACATGAACATTTGTCTCCTTCTCAATAGACCCCTTCAAACATTCTTCTAAAATAGCAATGATGTGGCACCTTCTCATTTCATCTGTCAATTTCTTCTCAGATTCTTCAGCATTTCACTCAATAATAGCCTTTAAAGCCTGGCTATTGGAGGAAAAAAAAATATACTTTTAAAACTTGAAGATATCTCAAGTATTAATCTCCCAGTTGCTCATCCTCAAGCATCACCTGATCCAAAGCCCTTTCCACCGTTTGATCTTCCATAATACAAATCTAAATGGTCGCTATCCCGTAACACATGTGAATATGTGTGGTGTATTACGTAATAAAGTGTTAAAACTTTTACGGCTGAGATTTTATAACCCCCTCTGTTATCAGCCATGACACGTCAGCATGTCGTGTTTTGTTTTGTTTGGTTTTTTTTTTTTTTTTTTTTTAAAGTTCTGATTTTTTTTATTTTTTTGAGGAATGCACAGTTGTAGAGAGGGATGGGATTTTGGTAATGGATGAAATCAGAGACTAGATTGTTGTGAAGAGTTTAAAGCACAAAACTAAAAAAATATTCTCGTCTTCAGAGTGTAATAGTAGTAACCATGGAAGTGGGTTTACAGTTACGGAGGCCGGTGAGTTGCAGAGCTATGTTCCATGAGAGAAGATTCTTTAACTTCAAGCCTGTCTTGGGTTCCTTAGCTTATGTCAATACAGCTCAATCTTTACAAGTAAGTTGTTGCTTCATTCATTGTTTAGTGTTCCTATTCAATGTTTTGTTGATTTTGAAGGTGGGACTTTATGTCTTTAATGATTGAATTTCCATTGGAAATGATTTATTGTGCTGAGCATGTTATTGTGATTTTACAATTCATATGTACATATATTTTAATCTGATATATACTTTCGTTATGATGTACTTTTGATAAGGTTCTTTGTATATCTTAGGACTTGTTACACTGAAGATAGTGTTTATCTTTGTTATTATGAAGAAAACATAAAGTTCCCTTTTTGAATTGATTTTCTTCATTTGAGGCATGTAATTTTAACTAGAATTGTAATGAATAGACTATTTTTATATTGGATCTCAAATATTGATGCTTTTGCTTTCAGTTTATTTCATGGCGCACTAAGTGTTCCACCGGAGGAGTTTCTCATAAAATCTCTGCTAGTTCTGGTTGGTTACTTGTGTAGTTCTAGTTGAGCTAGTTTTATTCAAAGCTGATTAATACATTATCTATTAACGGATTATTTAGTTTTTATTCTTTTATTTTTTTGGTAAAATAGATTTTTCTAGAAAGAGTCGAAGAAGATTCTCACCGAGGCCTAAAGGTTCTGCTCCAAAGGGGTTTATCCCAAAAGCACCTGTGGAAATTAGCACCCAGAAGAGGGATCAAAAGAATAATGATGATAAAAAAGGTTCAGGCATGCCAGTGTCGAGTGAATATGCAGGCTCCCCCAAGAAAACACCTGAAAGGAAAGTTGGTATTAAGAAAGAGCCAGTAAATGATCTTCCTAGAAATAGTCAAATTGAGGAAGGAAATGTTGATGAAGCTGTGAAGGAAATCAAAGATATACCAGGAGTGAGTGAAAATTTGAGAGTCGCTAATAACAGTCAATTGGCAGGAAATGGTAGTGTTGGTAGAGTTAGTGATGATGCAACTATGTTGCAAAAGAAAGAAACAACTTTGGAAGCTGATATTGAGAATGTGAAAGATGAGTCAGCTGTCGAGGGAAAGCATTTGAATTCTGATAAGAGCCTTGACTTTGTAAAAGATGAAAGTGCTGAAAGTGATATAAAAGTATCTGAAGATGCTTCTCAAAAATCAAAGATGGAGATGGAAGCCAAAGTAGAGTCGGCTTTCAAGGGAAAGCATTTGACTCCTGCTAAGAGCAGTGACTTTGTAAAAGATGAAGGTATTGGGAGTGATATGAAAGTGTCTGAAGATGCTTCTCTAAAATCAAAGATGGAGAGGGAAGCCAAATTGAAGATGGAGATGGAAGCTAAACTAAGGATGGAGATGGAGACCAAATTAAAGAAGGAGATGGAAGCCAAATTAAAGAAGGAGATGGAAGCTAAATTAAAGTTGGAGATGGAAGCTAAATTAAAGTTGGAGATGGAAGCCAAATTGCGTGAACAGGAAATTGAGAAACTTGCTCAGGAGAACTTCCAGAGAGGAACCAAAATGTTTGTTTATCCGCAGGTGGTGAAAGCTGATCAAGATATAGAGGTGTTCCTTAATAGGAGTCTCTCCACTTTAAGTGATGAGCCAGATGTTCTGATCATGGGAGCCTTTAATGATTGGCGATGGAAGTCTTTTACAGCCAGGTTGAACAAAACCCAACTCCAAGGGGATTGGTGGTCGTGTCAGCTTCATGTTCCTAAGGAATCCTACAAGATGGACTTTGTATTCTTCAATGGGCAAAACAAATATGATAATAATGATCAGAAAGATTTCTGCATAACTGTAGAAGGGGAAATGGATGTTTCTGCATTTGAAGATTTCTTGCTTGAGGAGAAACGTAGAGAACAAGAGAAACTTGCTGAGGAGAAAGCTGAAAGGGAAAGACAAGAGGAAGAGCGGAGGCGGATAGAAGCAGAGAAGGCGGCTGATGAAGCTGATAAAGAGCAGGCCAAGAAGGAGACTGAAAGGAAAAGAGAAATGTTGCACCAGTTGATGAAAAAGGCTGCAAGGTCAGTTGATATTGTGTGGTACATAGAGCCCAGTGAGTTTAAAGGAGAGGACTTAGTGAGGCTGTATTATAATAGAAGCTCTGGTCCTCTTGCTCACACTGATGAGCTCTGGCTACATGGGGGGCATAATAATTGGAAAGATGGATTGTCCATTGTCAGTCGGCTTGTCGGCTCAGAGAAAACAGGCGGTGATTGGTGGTATGCTGAAGGTACATGCAATACAGCTTCTCTTTTATTCAAGATGTCGCATATTTTATTTTATTTTATTTTATTTTATTTTTTTTTTATTACTGAAGGTATTTACATGTTATCTGGATTGGATTGAAAACAAGTGAAGTGAATATGCTAGTGGCAGCAATTGAGCCAGGATTTCATGCTTGTCAATTTTGGTTTCAGAACCTTAAATTTTCTCCACAAATACAAGAACTAATGGGCTATTAAAGATCATTTGCACATGGAAACCTTTGTCTAGATTTCACATGATTACTTTGCAGTTTGTGGTTTCCTTTAACCCATCATTTTAGTTACATGACAAGTTTGGTGACTTGAAATCTCAATTCCTTTGTGTTTACTGGGAATCCCTGAACAAGAAAAAGGCCTCTTTTTGTTTTATTGGTTTTTCTCTTTTTCAATTTAATTATGAGGAGAAGGTCCCTTTTGTTTTCCTTGTGAATAGAGCTTAATATCATATCATGTTGTCTGATAAAGACCATCAATTGTATTGCTTGTTATACAGCATGATTTTTTGTTTTACCACTACATTTTCTGCAGTTACTGTACCTGATCGAGCCGTTGTGTTGGATTGGGTCTTTGCTGATGGACCACCCCAGAAAGCCAATGTGTATGATAACAATGGTCGTCAAGATTTCCATGCTATTGTTCCAAAAACTGTTCCTGAAGAACTGTACTGGGTTGAGGAAGAACACCAGACATACCGAAAACTCCGAGAGGAGAGGAGAATAAGAGAGGAGGCTATTCGTGCCAAGGTCAATTTGATAAACTCTGCTTAAGAAAGCATAGTTAAGATGAAAAGTTTTTGTATTTAATGTCTATGAAAATCTATGAAAAACCATCTTGGTTTTACTTTAATATTTCAGGAAAAAATACATACAATAACCTTGCCAGAAATATTAGGATTGTGATTAGTTACTTCGCTAGAATGCTTAGGGCATGGTCTCACCAGTCAAGTTTTGATATGGTGGTCCCTTCCATTGCTTAGTCTTGTGTTGACAAGTGTGAGATTTGTGGACAATTTTTGCAATGTTGAGGATGGTTGTGGGACGTTCATTATCTGCATGAATATTTAGAGTCACTCTAGCTTAATTTTAATTAAATTGTAGATTTAGCTTATACTTAATTTCAGTTTTCTTGTTACTGATTTCTTTCTTTTCTTGTGTCAGGCTGAAAAAACTGCTCGTATGAAAGCTGAAACAAAGGAAAGAACTGTGAAAAGGTTTCTGTTGTCGCAAAAACATATAGTATATACGGATCCGTTTGATGTTAAAGCAGGAAGCACGGTGACAGTTTTCTATAATCCAGCCAACACAGTTCTCAATGGAAAATCTGAAGTTTGGTTCAGATGTTCATTCAATCGTTGGACTCACCGTATGGGTCCTTTGCCACCTCAGAAGATGTTGCCTGTGGAGAATAGTTCTCATGTCAAAACCACTGGTGAGTTATCAGTTCACAAAATACAATTTGAAAAATGGTGTGTGATTTATGGGATTTGTTTATGGGATGTATGTCTCTCGTATACCCTAAGCTCATAATTTTGCCGACAAATGGAGCAATTCTGACCTTAGGTAATCTGATGCATGGAAAAATTTGGTGTGAATTGTCAATCTGGAATAATTTGCAATACAGAAAGTGGTGTCACTTTCTTGGGCTATCTCTGTGGCCTTTTTATTACTAATGATTTCATTTTCCCTTGCACAATTTGAGTGCTGGACTGCTGTAATGAGGTTACATTGTTCTTAAACTAGGATAGCGATTTAGAGTTTGATGTGCATTTAGGAGGGTTATTGGATGCATCACAAAACGTGTTGTACGTATGTTATATGGTTCTTCACTTAACATACCTGAGCACTAAATGTTAGTGAGTGTCATTAATTGCTTGGCTCATCACATGGGTTAAGGGAAAGGATGCAGAGCCATAGATCAAATTTACTGGATAGTATATCATAAGCTCACTACATCCTAGTTTGGGTTGAGTAACATTCAGACAGTCATTAAAAGAGCTTTTATGGCTCCTTTTCTAGCTTAATTTCATTTGCCAAATCATATTACAGTGACGCATTACCTTCTTCTGGCAGAGAGACACAACTAGTTTAATGCATCCATTTATTTATTTCTTTAGGACTCAACGATGTGGTTTTATGTCTTTCCAGTCAAGGTTCCATTGGATGCATACATGATGGATTTTGTATTCTCTGAGAGGGAAGATGGGGGAATTTTTGACAACAAAAATGGCATGGATTACCATATCCCTGTCTCTGGAAGTGTTGCAAAGGAGCCACCAATGCACATTGTGCATATTGCTGTTGAAATGGCTCCCATTGCAAAGGTAACTTTAGGCCATTAAGTTAATTTGTGATTGTATGAAACACTTTTAAGACATTCTGCAGAGTGTACTGATTTGTCAACAAGTAATTTTACATATTTTTACTTGCTTGTGACTGATATTCTTGCAATTTTAAAACTTTGGCATCTGTTTTGTTTGTTGAGGATTTTATTTGCAATTTGAAAACTTAGGCTTCTGTTTTGTTTGTTGAGGATTTTGTAATCCATTATGTGATATGCAATTGAGGAATATTACTAAGTAATTGTCTGCAACACAAGAAGTAAAATGATATAAATTTGTTAAAATTGTTTTGGAGCTGGAATGGAGTTTGATATTGTTAAACTTGAGAGGTGATTTAACCAATGGTGAAAACAAAGAGAAAAATAAGAAATAATAATTCGTCAGTCTGTTGTTATTTTGCACATAAAATCCCTGCTTATTAATACATTTGTGTTTCATTTTTCCTGTGTGCTCTCTTACATCTCTTGCAGGTTGGAGGTCTTGGTGATGTCGTCACTAGTCTATCCCGTGCTGTTCAAGAATTAAAACACAATGTGGACATCATTCTCCCAAAGTATGACTGTTTGAGACATGGCAATGTAAGCTTCATTGATGCGCTTGTCCATATTTTCATTTCAAATCGTTGTGCTGGTGATTTATTTTCAATTCCTTATATTTTGGATGTTTCTGGTTTATATTATCGGTAGTATTGTGGTTTGCTATTAGTTGGTAATCTCTTTCATGAGACTGATTGAATTATGAGTTGTTCCCCTAGACATTTAGTTGGAGGATGTACTTCAAAGAGATCATGTGCAATACTGGCGTAATTTTTCTAATAGGGTTAAAATATTTTGTACTGTCATGTGTTTCCTAATTTGTACCTTGACACTTTTAGAACACATGTATGACAGCCACTATGGATGCAAAATTATGATTTTAGTTACATATATGTTGCAATCCCCAAACTACTATTGGTTACTATAGTATTTGGCCTTAGTTTTATTTTGAAATGTAATTAGTTGAATGAATGTGCTCTGAATAGGTGAAGGACTTTCAGTATCAAAGAAGCTATCACTGGGGTGGAACAGAGATAAAAGTTTGGACTGGAAAGGTGGAAAGTCTTTCAGTCTACTTTTTGGAGCCTCAAAATGGGTAATCCTTCTCACTAGATGTGCCATTATGTTGTCATTCTCTATACGCAGTGTAATTCTTTTCAAGATTTGTACTCTTATGTTTGTGTAATATGTGATTCTTAAGATTTCTATTCATTCCTCTAGTTCAGAACTATATTTTTCTGAAAATCTTTGTGTTTTGTCAATGTTTTTGGTGCTTTTTCCACAAATATCAAATTCTTCATACAATAGAATGTATTTGATAGGATTTCTTGATGTTCTTGTAGATTCTTTTCGACAGGCTGCATATATGGCTGCAGGAATGATGGGGAGAGGTTTGGTTTTTTTTGTCATGCTGCACTTGAATTTCTACTTCAAGGCGGATTTCATCCTGTAAGTGAATGTTCTTTCTCATATGGAACTTCAATTATACCTATCATGAGTGGTACAAACTTGTATGCTTTCTTCTTGTTAGTTAATTATCTTTGTTTTTGCCTAGACATGCATTTTATTCGTAGAAAAATCTCATTATGATGGAAGAATATGTTTTAAGATATTAATTGTGTGTCGTTATTAAGTCCAATTTTCACAGAAGGTTTTATTGTTTTTGTTATTGTTGGTTGCTCCTTTCTTTCTCTTTTTCCTTGCTAAATAAGTCTTGAATCTAAAATTTAATCCTATCAGCTCTTTGAGTCAGAGATATACCCTTTTTCTTATCTTGCTGTATATGTGCAGTCTTGCACAAGCTTAGATATTCAAATATCTGATTTGACTGGTGCTTCAAAATGGGCAGGATATTCTTCATTGCCATGATTGGTCAAGTGCTCCTGTTTCCTGGTTGTTTAAGGACTACTATATGCATTATGGTCTTAGTAAAACTCGGGTTGTCTTCACAATACATAACCTTGAATTCGGGGCACAATTGATTGGGAAAGCTATGGCATATTCGCACAAGGCTACCACAGTGAGTATTTACAATTTCCTATATCATTTAACGTCCTTGGTCTTAAATGCAGATTACAATTTCTTTTCCTTTATGCAGTTTACTGATTCTTCTCTAATTTGTGAACTTGTAGTTTCTTTGTTTTCGATTTGCTTCATAAAAATTTGCTTTAAAGGCCACCTTTATTATATGACCTTTTTTTGGATGTTCTGTTTCTTTTTGTTCTTTATTAAAATAAATTTTTAATTATTTATTTTTCTGAATTAGCTGTGTGATTGTTTTACCTGCTCATGTAGTAGTGTCTTACTAGGGTAAAAGTACTGCAGATAATGATTTAGTTTTATAGAAGTACTGCACATAAGGAACGATTAATTAGAAAAGATTGGCCATATTTTTATCAAAAAAATCAAGGCTAGGGTTGTAGTTTAGTAATGATAGTGCGGAAAACTGTTTGAAGAGAGTTAACAGTTCTTGACATTTTTGGTTGAACTCTCCCCTAGCTATTTAATATTCCTTATTGAAGAGATACAACCAGTTGTTTATGCTTGAGTAAACCAAATATTATAAATTTTAGGAAAAGGAAATTGTTGTATACGATTATGGCAGCAAAGCTATTACTTAACTTTGTCAAGTAATTTATCCATTGATCGTAATTTGATTAAGTAATCCAATATCTTAGCATGTAAGTATAACGGTTATGACCTTTCGTTCCTCACTAAATCTAGTGGAATTAATTTTTGTGCTTTTCCGTTGTATCAACTTCTTAAATGATTATGGCAAGAGCTGAACAAGTACAATTTTTGTGCTTTTCCATTGTATCAATTTCTTAAATGATTATGGCAAGAGCTGAACAAGTACATACTTATGCAATCTCTTCTGTTAATCCTTTCTGTGGTTTCCATCTTATTCACATTGATATCTGCAGGTATCTCCCACTTACTCGAAAGAGGTTGCTGGACATCCTTCGATTGCTCCTCATCTCTACAAATTCCATGGCATAATAAATGGAATCGATCAGGATATATGGGACCCATTTAATGATAAGTTCATTCCTGTAAGTAAACATTATATTTGCTGGTTATGTTAGGGATTCAGGGAAAAACTGGTGTTTTGGTAATGGTTCTCTGACTGAAGTTGTCCCAGATTCTTGTTTCAAAGGACTGTGTCATCCTTGTTCGGTAGAAAGCATATATTTCGATTATCTAGAGTGTAGAATGAAGAAGTAATCCAATTACTGAGTTTCTTGATTCACTTGACAGGTGAAAAGGGGAAACTAATTTATTGGATAAGGTACTAAACGAAGGGTAATGTAGAAGTACTAGTAGAAAAGCAATGTGAAAGAGATGTTTGGGCAAAGTGAAAATAGAATAATGGACGGGAACAAAAGATTAAAACTTTTGGAAATTCTTGTTTGCCTTTTTGAACTTAGCATCTCGAACAGCCTTGATGTTCTCAAAAGTACCTAGTTAACTATTATTCTCTTAATTGTGAATAAAGTACCTGAGAAAGTCCTTTAATTTGATGACTTTGAATGCTTTAGCTGACAGACATATATAAGGAGGTTAACCTGCTTGCAGTGAGAATTAACTTCTTACTTGAAGACACATTATATGTCAATGAGTTTAATTTTTGTTATAGATTAAACATTGCAACCAAACGCCTATGTTGTCGTTTCTGTGTGGTTGTATAACTAGCTTTGCTTTATTTATTTTTGTAGCTTTGGATCACTGTTTCAGAAAGTAAAGTTATGGCTAATATATGAAGCATGTCATTCCAGGTGTCATATACTTCAGAAAATGTTGATGAAGGCAAAAGAGCTGCCAAGGAAGCCTTGCAGCAAAGGGTTGGTTTGAAAAAGGCTGATCTGCCTTTAGTGGGAATTATTTCTCGTTTAACACATCAGAAAGGTATCCATCTCATCAAGCATGCTATTTGGCACACCATAGAGCGTAATGGACAGGTTTTTTTTTTTTCCTCATTCGTCTTTCCTTAACATTTATGTTTCTCTTGTCATGTATCAATACATATGACACCACTGACCGTGAGAGGTTAATTGTTAGCATTTTCATGTTTATACTGACCAAGCATGTGATGCCAGGTTGCATTGCTTGGTTCTGCTCCAGATCCTCGTATCCAGAATGATTTTGTTGATTTAGCCAATCAATTGCATTCTAGTCATGCTGACCGTGCTCGTCTTTGTTTGACCTATGATGAGCCACTTTCACACTTGGTATGTTCTCATGGAGCTTCAAACTTCATTCTTTTCCCTTCTTTTACATTGTGATATTTTGTATCTACAATATAATTCCAAATTTAATACTTGGACTTCATAACAGATATATGCTGGAGCAGATTTCATTCTAGTTCCTTCTATTTTTGAGCCCTGTGGACTGACACAACTCACTGCCATGAGATATGGTTCAATACCCGTTGTTCGGAAAACTGGAGGTTTGTACCTAGAAAGTCATCCTTTCAATGAATACATCATATCAAGTTTCTGATATATCTGATCTGTGATTTAGAATACTTCTCAAACTGCTTTTGATCTCAAATCTAAAATGAGATGTGTAATGTAATTACTGGAATTTCTGGAATGGCCCTTAATGTTTCCCTTTTTCCTTTATGAAAATCATGAATATATGGTTTAGAATGGATGATTCATTAGTTTGCCAGTTAGTTACTGATTCCTTGTTAAAGTAATGCCTGCATTATTTGACAGGTCTGTTTATCATTCTTCCCAATTTGAACATGATCTTACCGGTGTTGTGTTTTCTAATACGTCTTCCCTGCCATTCATGCTGATTCATGATTTTCCTTTACCTCAATGTTTATTATTCTTTTAAATTATCCAAATTCGGAAATTTGCATCTAACTAATCTTTTTAAAGTTTATCATACTGCTATCATGTTTATTGACCCTCGTTAATACCTTCGCAAATTTAGTATATTTGACTGAACATTTTCAATTTATTTCTTCTGTAGGACTTTATGACACTGTGTTTGATGTTGACCATGATAAAGAGAGAGCAGAAGCCCAATGTCTTGAACCAAATGGATTTAGTTTTGATGGCGCGGATACTGCTGGAGTGGATTATGCTCTCAATAGGTGAGTAATTTATTTCTTGTTCAACAAAGTTGGTAAGTATATATTTCTCTTGTAGCAGAATTGTAATGAGTTTCAGTCCTTGTTTCTTCATTTTTTTAGTGCAATCTTGATGTGGGCTACTAAAATGGCCCCTTTTGTACAACGAAGAATCCAGTATTACTCTTTCATTTACTGTTTTGGAGTCCTCTACTGAAAGCATTTTAACGTTTTGTTATTTCATAGTTTATCAGCTACTGCTGTTCTATACCATGGTGAAATAATTTTTAGTGTCATATTCTCTTTCTCTCTCACACACATGTGGGCGTGCATGCCCACAGTCACTCATGCACGCACAGATTAGTTTATGTAGATGTACTATATTCCTTATGAAGTTCTCATTAGAAGTTGATTCCTCAGGGCTATATCTGCTTGGTATGATGCTCGGGAATGGTTTAACTCTTTACGCAAGAAAGTGATGGAGCAAGACTGGTCTTGGAACCGGCCTGCTCTTGACTACATGGAGCTTTACCATTCGGCTCGCAAATATTGATTATGCACGGAGAGTGTGCTGCAGATAATTCCCATCGTAGCTTGTACAGATTCAGATAATTGCATATAGTTTACCAGTCAGATTCTTTCAAGGTGACCCAAGTAATTTTGTGTAACATAAAGCGGTAGGTCAGTTTCACGATATTGTATTTTTCAGATCATTGTTACCTCATGTCTCAGAATAATGAAAAAGTGAATCAAGAATAAAAGAAATGGAAATTAAAAAAAAAAATAAAAAATCTTTTATGAACTTTAATCCAGCATTTGCTTCCTGATATTGCAGACAGCTTAAATTTCTCCCAGAAACTTTATTTTGGTTCTGCTATCAGTCTTTCTAGAGCTAGATATCAAAGTTCAATTGATTAAACAACATTTCTAGATTAATACATAAAGTGGTGCTGACCAACCACAAGAAAATGTTTTTGCAGGCTAAATGGTGATGATTTTGATAATCATGTTCAAATTTTAATACCAATTAAACCACTGCTTTTGTATCTTCAGTGTTGTTACTTCATTAATAACTACCCCATCAATGTATAAGGGGGCACATAATCATATTTGGTTGAATGGTAGCTTTTGCCCACTATGGTGCAGATATTATATTTAGGATTCTGCTGTTTTCTGCAGATTCCCAGTTATGTTGCATTTGTACATGTTAAATGAAATCTTTGTGGAAGTATTGATCTTTCGACGCAAAGGTAGTAGTGTCTTTACAGCATAAGCATATCTAGATTATTACATTTCAAGTCTCTCCAAATAGATATTGTTTGTTTTGGGTTCAAGTCCACACCGGTTTTTTTTTAACCTTCAAGAGTAAATGTTCTTCACCTAAAACATCCAAGCTCCATCAATTGAATCCACTTATCTGCTAGTGGTTGAATGTGAAATGTGACTTAAACCATGCTACTTTCTAATTTCTATTGTTATAGATCACATTTTGATGGAAGCAATGGACAAAACAGGGTCCTTGGACTTTAAAATAACTTTGAAAACTAAAGACTTTTGTCGTGTACTTAGTTTTTTGGCTAAGTTCTGTGCGGCCTTAACAGCAGGAGATGGTGTTAAACAGTCTTAAACTCACACAAACTCAAAAACTAACAGTAATGAAAATGAACAGGATGAGCATATAGAAAAAATTGCAAACTCTATTATTGGAAATTTTGGATCCTACACATTATGCATTTACAAAATGGAGTGCCTTATTTATAGGATAAATCTCCAAAGTAAAATGTCTATATACATTAAATACTTCATGCCTAGTGTTAAGGCCGTACGGAACTTAGCCAAAGAACTAAGTACGCCACACTTTGCTCTCTTTCAATGCCAAAATCTGATCTTTGGCAAGATTTTCTGGTGTCATTAGAAGATTTTCACCAACAGGAACATATATAATAATATCATCAATGACTGAACTTTGACATAGAAATGCTAATGCAAGAACATCTAAGAAAGTTGGTGGGATTTATGTATCCTCTTTTGCTGATACTTGACATGGAATTGGAGATATGAAGATACTAAAATCTAATGGAATCTTTGACAAATAATAAGTTGTTGTAACACATGCAAACAAAAAAAAGGACCTTTCTTGGCCTAATAACCACCAAAATTGCCTTATCATCTTGTGATGGCAATTGAAATTTGAATTGACCAACACTTCGTGGAAATGATAGTTATGTGACTGAACATTGAACAAGGTTTGGTAGTGGAGGACACAGAGCCCACTGAATCCCTCGAAGCATAAGCATGAAAATATGGAAAACAATGGGCTAGGATTCTGGTGTTATATACATAATCAAGAAGATCCTTTTTGGATGGTAGATATGGGTTCTTTCTTCTCATCATTATAAGCTTTTTGGTAGTTTTTTCGTCCATTGAAACTTTTATTCTTATTTTACATTATTAATTGATTCATTCAAGTTAACAGTAAAGCAACGTTCATTGTCTTGTATATAATTTACAATGATTACTATTGGTATTAGAGGATTATTAAGACATTATTCTCGACCAAACCCACCATAAATATGAATCTCTATAGTCTTTTATCACATAATGATGTTTTTATAAGTGGGTTTCATTTCATCCATCTTTGAGAAAAATCGCAAACGTCCCAATAACAATTTTCGAAAAGTATTAAACACTTCTCTCAAATTATCAAAAACCCCGTTAAAAATATTATAAAACCCTCAACAAAAATAGAAAAACCTCTATAATATATTTAAAAAAATATATATATGTTTCCAAAATTGTTAAAGAGCGTGATTCCCTATTTTAACCTCCAATCAAAATATCAGTTTATTACAAAATTAAAACCGTTGTAAGAGCAATGTGGCTGTAGTTTAGTGGTAAGAATTCCACGTTGTGGCCGTGGAGACCTGGGCTCGAATCCCAGCAGCCACAGTTTTTACATTTTTCGACTTGACT